ACGTAAGGGCTTTGCTGAGTCGAGCCCACATGACAGAGAGTAACAGAGCAGAGCAGAGGGCCACCATCCCCACTTTTATCCCTACTTCTGGCTTTGAAATCTGATGAGACGGCAGGGCCACTTTGTACCTCCAAGGTTGTATCACAAGAACACATCTTTGACACAGGGTGGGCTCCAGGGCAGTGATGGTGGAGGGTCCTGAGAATGACTTTATGGCAGAGGGGGCCGGGGCCTCACTGGAGCAGGGCTGAGCGACAATGCCATAGCAGGTGTACATAGTAGTTCAGCACATCAACACGAGCTTGTGTGCGACAGTCCACGGGGACTCCCAGAAACAGAGGGGCATTTTTATTGGGAGTGGGCTGGTAGCCCTGCACTAGTGGGTAGCATTAAGAGCTATATTATCAGTAATGTGACTTTATTGACATCCAGAGGCATATTCTGATGGAAGATACATAACAGCTATAAGGCTTTTTTATACCTTTGTAAAACTATGGTTTATTCCAAAATCTCTTAGACAAACTAAAATGAACTATACTATAATGAACACCACCCAGCTTGAGAAACACAACTTCCAAAGTAACTTAGTGCCCCTGTGCACACTTCTAGGAGGGCATTCTCTTCCTTTCCACCTGGAGGCAGCTATTCTCCTGAATCTGTTTGTGTCCAACCCACTTTCCAGTGAGCTAATCCCTCCTCTCCCGCACAAACCTCTGGTCCCACCCCAGTGGGGTCACCACCAATGCTGTTGAGTGTGCACTGGGTTCTGGGAAGAAGCTGGATAGAAGTGTCAGAGGGACACATCATTGGACTCTGTCTTGATGCCCACTTGAATCCTAGGCCCCCTGCCAATTCTTCCTCAGAAGCAGATCCTAACTTCTGGCTGTACCCCAATGGCAATGAACACATGTTTCGTCAGTGCCATGTACCCCAGTGTTGGTCACAAAGGGAATCAATGCTCGGTGGGAGGGTTATCTGCATTTGCCCCCATCTGCTGATGTTTCTCAAAGCTCCCCACCTTCAGAGAAGGCTCTCATAAAGAGAACTGATGCCAGGCACCCCAACCTTGATCACAATGAGAACAGGTGCTCAGTGGGAGGATTATCTGCATTCGCTACCATCTGCCTGTTGTTTCTGGAAGCTCTCCACCTCTACTTGACAAAGCTTTTTTGGGGGGGGGTCCAGATTGCCTTTTCCCAAATTCTACTAATTGTTTAAGAATCAGTGCCTCGTCTCACCTCCATGAAGTCTTCCTGGACTTGACCTTATGTCTTTGAAATTTATCATCTTAGAGGGAGAGACCAGAAGGTTTGAGCCTGCTCCTGTTTGCATATATTTGAGAAATAATTGTGCTGCAATGTGTAAGCCAGACCCTCCAGTTAACTTGCCCCAAGGTTCTGTTTTCTTTTTCTTTTTGAAAAGAAAATATGACTTTAAGTATTCACATCTTATCTATTTCTTTTAAACGTCTTGTACCAATGATTTAGCTCTTTAAGCTCTTTCTAAAACTTTTTTTTTAACCAGCCAGTCTATTTTCTTTTCTTAAAGAGAAAATTTTCTATTTTAAAAGGATTATGTTTCTAACTCCCTTCTGCCCTCCAGCCTGAAACACATCTTTAAAACAAACAGTGCTTGGAAAGAGTGAAGCTCTCACAGTTTCTTGAATGAATGGTTGCTGGTACACATCTAAGAAACCCTGGCTCTCAGCTCAGTGAAAATAATAATAATATCTACGTTATACAGTTCTAGGAAATAAGTGGGTACATGAAGAATAGGACGGCTATCTGTAGAAAATGGAAATCTAGATCACAGTGATATATTTTAGGGTGCATATTTGTTGTATACAGGTACAAGTAAACTGTGAAGGAAATTAAGAAATTATCATAACGACTCTTATATACTTCTAGTGCAGGAGAAAAGGTCAACTTTTCAAAGGAAGCTTATTAGTTCATAAGCCACAGAGTTTTCAGTGTGTATCACTCTTGTTCAAAGCATCTAAATACTTCCACAACCATACATTTATTTGCTTGTGTCCACTTTGTGCATCTGGATATTAAATTTACACGTGGCTTTTATAGCTAGAATAAAATCCAGATTTTTTTCCAGTGATACCATATAAAGTCTTTAAAAATATCAAATTCTTTTTTAGGGGCGGGCCAAACTTAGATTAAAGCATATTGTTCCTATTGCTAGAGAAATAGTCCATTATGTGTTTTGCATACTTTGGTGTTGTGCTTATTATTTATACCACATAAACGACACTTTGTTAGGTACTGTTCTATTTTTTTTTCCTTTTTGAAACAGGATCTCCCTCTGTAGCCCAGGCTGGGGTGCAGTGGAGCAGTCCTGGCTCACTGCAGCCTCAGCCTCCTAGACTCAAGTGATATTCCTATCTCAGTCTCCTGTGCTGCAAGGACTATAGCTGTGCCACCATACCCAGTTAAATTTTTGATTTTTTTTTTTTTGTAGAGACAAGATCTCTTTATGCTGCCCAGGCTGGTCTGAAATTCCTCTGCTCAAATGATCCTCCCACCTCAGCCTCCCAAAGTGCTGGGATCACAGGCATGAGTCGTGGCACCCAGCCTACTGTTCTATTTTGTAATAATGTATAACTTGAATCAGTACATAATAATGATAACTATAGACAGAAATAAATGGATGGATACATGCACAATCTTATGTATTCATCATTCTTGTATACATACCTTTTTTATCAAATAAATTACAGTATAATTTTTTTGCTGGCAGGGATATTTCCTAACACCATTTTGCACCTGATACAGCCTAAAAGAGTGTTAGGCATATAGCAGATGACCGATAGATAAGTACTTGTAAACTGCTCTCAGGAGAGACAACAAAGGAGTAGAGATGCCAAGATCATTTGGCTGGTCCACAGAATGGCCTTTTGGAGGGGAGTATTCATAATACAGGATCTAAAAGCTCTTCTGCGCCAGAAACTATACTTCAGGAGGTCTAGAGTCAAAAGGTCTCAGGGGGACTGATGAACCCACAGATGCACAGATGGATTCACAAAGACTGATATATATATACATATATCACAATGCTGATTAGTTAAGATAGAATGAACGACCCCCCTGCTTAGAGCTCTCATTTCCCTGCCAAGACACCTTACATTTCCCAAGCCAGAATGTCAGAAGGCTGCACAGTCAACAGAGACTTCATGAGTGTGGAGTCAGAGACAAGCAAGGTAAAACCATTGCAAGGAATACTTCATCTCAGCCCAGGAGAGACGCGAGGAAACACTTCATCTGGTGGACAGAACACGTCTCATGTTACAAAACTAACCAACCCTGAGATTCAAGATTTATCTCATTGGGATGTTCATAGATACCCAGGGCCAAACTTGGTCTTGAATTTGGCATTCATGCAGACCACTTCTACTGGCCATTCTTTCTTTACACTTACTAATACCATGGATTACAGTTAGAATCCACCTGCTCAAATCTGGGAGACCTAATGCAATTTGATGCTTATGAATTTCATTTATTAGAAATGCTCCTTTGTAGAATTCTTAGGTGCCTTTATAATGGCAGCCTAAAGCAGGAGATTAGAAATAGATTAGGAGATGATCTATCATAGAAACAAAGAACTGAGTGCTACATGTTCTCACTCATAAGCAGACCCTGAACACTTATCATAATACTAAAAGAAAGGGACTGGAGTAGTGAGACGCTGTCGTGGGGTGGAGAGGAGACCACATAACATCAATAAGGGTATCAGATCCCAAGCCAGGTCAAGTGGGCACCAAAGGGAGGTCCAAACTTTACCCGTTCAGTGACCACTTACATACCTGATCCTGAACTGTACCCCACATTTTTTTAAAAAAAGAAATAAGTCACCTAACCCCAGTAAGAATGGCCATCATTAATAAAACAAACAACAACAGATGCTGGCGAGGATGTGGAGAAAAAGGAACGCTTCTACACTGCTGGTGGGAATGCAGACCTCTTTGGAAGGCAGTGTGCCGATTTCTGAAAGAACTAGAAATTGACCTTCCATATGACCTTCCATATGACCTTCCATATGATCCCCTATTGGGAATATACCCGGAGGAACTCAAATTATTCTACAAAGAAGATACCTGCACATGTATGTTTGTTGCAGCTCTATTCACAATAGCAAAAACATGGAACCAATCATGTTGCCCATCGAAGCTGGATTGGATAAAAAAAAATGTGGTACATATACACAATGGAGTATTATGCAGCCATAAACAAGGACAAATATATGAACTTTGCAGCAACTTGAATGGATTTGAAGTCGATCATACTCAGTGATTTATCACAGAAACAAAAAACTGAGTTCCATATGTTCTCATTCATAAGCTGAACTTGAACAATTATAATGCTATAAGAAAGCGATTGGCAGTAGTGGAAATCTGTCAGGGGAGGGGGGTGGGATTGGCAGTTGAGGGA